ATCAAGGTCAACTGCATAGCTTCTTATTCTTTTGTTTTGTATTGTTACATTTTGTAGTGTTATGTGATCTACCACCCTTCATCAATGTCAACTGCATAGCTTCTTATTCTTTTGTTATGTATTGTTACATTATGTAGTGTTATGTGATCTACCACCCTTCATCAAGGTCAACTGCATAGTTTCTTATTCTTTTGTTATGTATTGTTACATTATGTAGTGTTATGTGATCTACCACCCTTCATCAAGGTCAACTGCATAGCTTCTTATTCTTTTGTTATGTATTGTTAGATGACATACCACCCTTCATCATTTCAAGTCTCAGAATTCTATTTGTCGGTAACTCGGAAGTATTGCTTCCCAACTCCCTTTGATAATATATATATATATGTGAAAGTAGCATAGATTGCAGTGTAGTGTTCACTCAGAGCCGCACAGCAGACATTTCGATCCACTGCTGCTGTGCTGGCTCAAGCAACCGCTGACTCGCTGACACATGGAAAACAGGTTTGCTTCGCGCTGGACATCCCGACCTACAAGTTCACAACCAAAGGCACTTACATCTAACAACATAGGGGTTGTCCCCATTCACAGGTTATCAGCCGTACGCTCACACTGAGCGTACGGTGGCATCCTGGTCCTCCTGCCCTACTACAAGTCAGGCTTGGGGTAAACGGAGGTGGACTGACTTGAGGAAGATGTCGCAGAAGAACCAGTCGAGCAGCAACGACACGAACTACACCTTCGGAGCGAATGCTGCTCCGGCTCAGGCGATCAACGATACGCCTGGATCCCATGAGAGCGGCGGCGGTGGCACGGTCTCATACCGTGCAACTGGAAGTGTAGCATCAACAAACAGCTTCACAGTGGTCAATCAAGCTGATGCAGTTCGAGGAGGAAGTGCCAGAAGATCAACATCGGCAAGATCTCACCGCGCTCTAAGATCCCATGCTATGGAAGGTGGCAATAGTGGCCGGAGCCCGTCGGGCACGGCCACGCGGGAGGATGAGGCAGGCAAGGCAGCCACCTCATCCAAACGCAAGCCATCGACCAGTGCTACGAGGAATGAGAGCGAGGCACGTCTTCGACGTCAACTACAACACAACAATGAGAAGCTGGAGAGGAGTGAACGGGCAAGGACAGAACTGGAGAATAGATTGATTCTTTATCAAGATGTTCTTGCACGTCGTGATCAGGTGATTAGCAACATAGAGATATATTCACAACAACATCACGAAGAATATCAGGAACATGTCATTTCTGAGATGGAATTCATGAGAGGTTCCCTCATCAACGCATACAACATACTTGACGAACAATCGACCGCCCTGGCTGAGGCACATCTCTTGGACGAAGGCTCAACTATGAGGATCGTCGAGTTGGAGAAGCGTGGCAATCTCGCAGAATCAGGCGCGGCCCACATTGTTCAAGAGAGTATGGCTATGAGGGGAAGATATCTTACTGAGTTAGAGAATGCATCACAACTCATCCGCCAACAACAAGAGATATCTGAAGCCATGACGATTCACTTCCGTCAAGATGGAATAGAACTGCGTGAAGCATGTGCACAATATGTCCAAGATAGGGAGAATGCGAACAAGGAAGAGATGGAACAACTGAAACTGAGTTTGACAGAAAGTTCACAGATGATGGTTGACAACAATGAGATGATCATGGAACATGGCCTGCAAGCTGTTGCACTACGTGACGAACGAATGGCGGAGATGCAATCTACCATTGACGAACTGACTGTCAGTTTGATGAGTAGGGACAACATCATTGCCGCCAGGGATAGTGCAAATCGTGATCACATTGTGAAGATGCGTGACATGAAGAACATGGTTCAGGAAAAGGAGGAAGAGTACAACTGGAAGCACAACGAGCTCGAGGTGGAGATCAGAAGCCTCATGAGACTGAACGAGAACGAGAGTGCTACCAGAGAATGGTATTCAAATCGGTTCATTGAAAAGAAGAATGAGTTTCGCCAGTTCAAGCATGATGAACTAAGTGCGTTCAAGGACAGGGAGGCCACCATTGAGAGCGTTAAGGACGAGCTCATGGACGAGAATATGACGTTGATTGAGTCCAACAACCAGTTGAGGACGCGGGTTGCAGAACTCCTTGGATCTCGATTCAAGGTTGGTGGTGACGAAGCCAACGCCAAGGTGAACGAAGAACTACGTGAAGAGCTTCACAAAGCCAACTTGGAGATCAACCGACTTCAAGAAGCAATTGAGAGCAACCCGAAGCTGACTGAGGCACTTGTCAACGCTGAAGAGGCGGAAGCAGATAGATACAAGACGCTGTATCGGTCGGCATGCTCTGAGCGTGACCATGTGGTCAGGAAGAAGGACTCACTGAAATTATCACTACATGATGCTAGTTGGGCCATGAGATCGATGCCGGCATCATGGAGTAGAGCAGCGCCCAGTGCCGCGGTACCAGCATCCCCATCTGCTGTGCCTCCGACAAGCCTAGCTCCAAGAACAACTGCACCCAATGGCAAGACTCCTTCCTTTGCGATATCGATTTCAACACCTATAGGTACTCCCAAAGCATCATCATCAACGAAGAATCATGATCCTGCTCTACTGCCACCATCGCCAAGTACCAATGTTGCCGTCGACAACAAAGCCAACCATGAGATTGATGAACTTCGTGAGAAGCTTCGTCGGTCTGAAGAACAAGCTCAACAGAACTATGATGAGATGAAGGAGTACCAGAGTTGGCTAGAACAAGTCGAAGAAGGGCAAGGGTCTGTGAAGGATGGCAAAACCCCTGATTTTGATCCCGTTCCCGACAATCCTCCTGGACTTTGGGATCGGAGAGATGGCAAAGATGCTAGTGTTGCAAACAGTGATGCTGGTCAAGATGGTAAAGATTGGGTGACTAGAACATCAAGGAAAGAGCATGAGAAGGTTATCATCAAGCCATGGCCTAAATGTCAAGACCTCGATGTATGGCGATCAAACGTCGTGCAGGCTGTATGCGTTGCTTCAGGAGATCCTGACACTGCAGCATGGAGAACATGGCTAACTCCTGCTCAACTACCCAATCCTGACTATGCTGTACTCGCTATAGCTCAGGTGAGTTCCGCTTCCAGTCCATTGACTCCAAACTGTCCATTGCCTTGCAGAACATGGTGGACGCCGCTGGCGAGACTGCATACGAGGTCAAGGTCCGAATCAGGCAGAGGAGTCAAGTTCTTGGAAAAGAAGGGAACTTCCTAATGGGCAGAGAGATACTAGCAATGGTATTAGATCATTTCAGGACGACATCAAAAGATGAAGTATTGTTCAATGCCAGCCACATCTACAAACTACAGTATCGCGGTGACAAGGAGATGGATAAGTTCCTAACTGCATGGGTCGAGATCATCGCAAACATGAAAGTTGAGGACATTCCATCTGACAACACACTGCGTGATCATCTCTTGAGGAAGATTGATGGCTCCCAGGCATTGCATGTCGACCTCACGATCTTCAAAGGTAGGGACAATGATGACAAGAAGAAGTCATATGGTGAACTGTTGGAGATCATGAAGAGGCACATAGCTCGTGTACGTGAGGATCGTAACATTGCGGCCAGGGACAAGTTCGCTACGGACTACACCAATCTTGGTAAGCCTTCTGCCCCTGCGGCAAAGCCCACAGCACCGGCGCCTACGCCGAAAGATGGTAAGGGCGGGAAGCCAAGTGCCCCAGCACCCAAAGGTAAGCCTGGAGCTCCAGTATTACCTTCCGGCACTCCCAAGAGCCATGGCAAGGGGAAAGAAAGGCAAGGGTGGTAAGAGATCAAGATCGCCTTCTACAAGAGATCCGTCCAAGACCTTTTGTCACTTCCACTTCAACAAGGGCAACTGCAAACATGGTGATAAATGCCAGTATAGCCATTCCCAATATCATTGGGATAAGAGGAAGGACAAAGGTGACAAGGGCAAGAAAGGTAGATCGGCCACTCCGAGAAGATCGCAGACTCCTGGCGGAAAGAAGGACCGAAACTGCTATGGGTGGTTGAAGGGTGATTGTCAGAAGGGAGACAAATGTACCTTCAAGCATGACCCAAGCATGAAGGGCAAACGAGCAGCACCTTCGACAAAGACAACTGATGCTAAAGCCACTCCTGCATTGGTCCGTGAATATGATGATGATTTCATCGTGAATGCTGTGCCGATCGAGAAGAAGAACAAGATGGATGTCAAGTTCAACGATCACGCAGAGACTATCAACTACGTGAAGCCTGACTTTGTGGAATGTTCTAACCGAAAGCCAAGAAGAAACTTGTCCAGAGCTCAGAAGAAGTCATTGACGTGCAGGACTACCAAAGAAGTCATGGATGATCAACAATGGGTACTACAATCCAAGTTGGGCATGACAAGAGCACGTGCAATTGGCATACTAATGGATGACTTTGGTGAATTTTCTGATGTTGACGAAGTACATGTTATCCTGGGACCCAAAAGTGATATCAAGCTCAAGATCAACAACATTGAATATTTGGAGAACAACTCTCGAGCTGAGATATGCTACGAGGAAGTTATTCCTCATGTTCCAGGACAATATGGTCGTCGTGACAACGTCATGTGCATCACTATGCCGATCGAGCTCAAGGACAGACGTTTCATCATGGACTCTGGCAGTGGTCATGATCTTATCTCGTCTACTAGAGTGGATCGGATGGACATTGACACCTACCAGAGTGACCGAGTCAACTTCCACACTGCGAATGGCATCACATCCACATCTACGATGGTGGACCTGGACTTCGACACATTCAATGAACCTGCAAGGGCTCACGTGTTGGAGGACACCCCATCCGTTCTGTCATTGGGAAAACGATGCATGGAACAAGGTTACACCTTCGTATGGCCCAATGGGAGAGAACCCTATATGATCAACTCTGAGGGTGACAAGATCAGGATGGAAGTTCATGATCTCATCCCGTATGTCTACCTTGGGGCTAAGGATTACAGGCCATCACCAGACCATGAGGCTGAGCTAGTGATGAAAGTGTTGGGTCTCATGGGCAACAATCCAGCATCGAGAACGATATATCTTGATGGCGAGAGTGGCGATGAAATGTCCGAATCAGATGATGGAGTTGGTACGTACGTCGACGGGCCAACGAAGTCTCCGAGGAAGAAGAAGAAGAAGAAGCGTTCCAGACGGAAGACCGTTCCTGTGGCAGCTGGTGAAGGGCTCGATGATGATGATGGCTATGAACCATCCGTCCGCGAAGATGATCCAGGAGACGATGATGTTCATGTTGATGAAGTTCCTGGTGCGGACGAAGATAAACCTAGAGGCGTGTTTGTTAAACATTTTTTGAGGATCGTCACGTTTGGATGAAAAAAGGCCATTTGTTAAAGATTTCTGGATTCAGGCTTCATCTGTGGCCAGGAAGAACTTAGGAAATAGCTTGGTTTCTGATGCAGAAACCAACCTAATTCTGATGGTCTGGGTTTACAAGACCTTGGAAAGTGATTGGTTTCTGATGCCGAAACCAACCTAATTCTGATGGTTCTGGGTTTACAAAGCCTTGGAAATAGCTTGGTTTCTGATGCCAAAACCAACCTAATTCTGATGGTCTGGGTCTACAAAACCTTGGAACGTGACTGGTTTCTGATGCAGAAACCAGCCTAATTCTGATGGTCTGGGTCTACAAAACCTTGGAACGTGACTGGTTTCTGATGCAGAAACCAGCCTAATTCTGATGGTTCCGGGTCTGCAAAACCTTGGATGCAGAAACCTTGCCATGGGTTTGTGAGTCGTGGGGCTGCTCTCCCTATATGAGCTTGTGCATTCTGGGTTTGTGGTATCTTCTTGTGGTTGGATACTTGTTTTTCCTGGTGATGTCTTGAGTAGATTCCTGTTTGATAGCACGCGTATTCAATTTAAAGATATGTCTTTTATATTACCTTTATGCTATTCACATATATATATATATATAATACCTATTCAATATATGATGTATTTAGACATGTGGACAAAGGGGAGGTGTGCATGCTGTAAAGAAACGCAGTCCGTCTGCAGCCGTTTGGGGCATGGGGTTTTCTGCTGCATTTGCAGCAAGCAGAAAAAAACAACAACAAAACCATTCATTTTCAACCAAAGAGAAACAAACAAACATACAAACAAACAAACAAACAAGCAAACAAAAAGACAGACAGACAAACAAACAAACAAACAACAAACAAACGAACAAACAAACAAACAAGCAAACAAGTAACAAGGCAAACAGTCAAACAGGCAAACGGGCAACCAACCAACCAACCAACCAACCAACAAACAAGCAAGCAAACAAACAAACAAACACAGCAGGAGCCGCAGAGCAATTTTAGCAAAGAGCTGCCATGGGGCAAAAAAAATCTTTTTGATGGAGGATGGGCCACTGCAATGAATACATTGCACGAGCTGTTCTATGATGAAGTTGGTGCATCTTCAGGTGCCCATTCTTCCCTGCATGCTGATGTAGTTTGGGCAGGAAAAAATTGGAAAAAGTTTGTTGCAAGTTTGCGCGTGGTAAAATCTTACTTGTTGCTGCAGCCATTTGGGTTGACAAACGTCGTGGCCGGCGAATATGGGTGAGACCACAGACTATGGGCCTGAGCATGTGGCAGAAGCGTTTCGAGCATACCCGAAACTGAGTCAAGCTTCTTGGTTAAATTTAGTTTGGTTCTGTTTTGTTGTAAAAAACTGTATGGTGGGGATTTGTCTATTTGGGTTTGATGTACCAAATTTGGGCTGTTTCAGGTTGGTTTGAGTTTGGTTCATGACCACTCTGGACGATGCTTCAAGCGAGCGGCAAGTAAAAAGGTGACGCTTAAAGATGTCGAAGCCAATAAGGAGGTGCGGGTTTAAGAAATATATTTCAATACGTATGTTTTCGAAAAATGTGTTCAATATGTTAGGTAATATTGTTTTGAATTGAAACTGGTCTGCAGGTTGTGGCCTGCATGCTGAAGGTGAGCTGTGGCCGTGGCTACTTCTCAAAGCATTTGATTGCCAAGGGTGTTTGCATGTTCTATGAGCAGCAGATCTTATACCCTGAAGGGCTCAATAGCAGGATGCCCGCGATCAAAGAGTGGAGCGCTCGCATGGGCTTGGCAATTTCCAGACTTGCCTTTCGGTTTGATTTTTTCCTGTGGGGTTCAAACGTTGAGAATGCAAGAGTTAACTTATAGCAAGATGCATTTGATTCAATCTGAGGCTGCTCGGTTCCGTCCTCTTGCCCTTCGTTCCAGCACAAGCAAAAGTGCGGCTTTGCAATGGATTCGTGATGAGATTGCAGGCTTTGCAGAATCATGTGTTTGACCTTAGCCATATTCGATTTTGTTCATTGTTTTTGTCAATGTTTTGGGATTGTTTTTGAACTGAGTTTTCACCTGCTTTCCCTCGACCAATTTTTGCGTGCAAGGATGATGAAGGCATGCAAGAGGATCACCACATGGACCATGAAAACGATGCCGGCAGTGATTCGGATTTGTCCACTTCCAGCTCAGCCAGTTTCGACATGTCCAAGATCGAAGCGGTCATTTCGGTCTTGAAGCAGAAACAAGAGGCTTCGCACGAAAACGCTGCAAAAAAAGGATCGCAGCAGTTGACCGTACCTGACAAGGCCTGGTTGTCCAATATGTTTTGTGTTTATATATATATATATATGTTCACATGCTTGGGGCCTTATGCATTGAAATGTTGATTTCACATGTCTTCAGATTTTCAATGTGTTGTTTGGTTGGGTCAATATGGACATGAACATTTTAGCTTCTTGTTCCCCCGTTTATCCAGATTTTTTTAAGTCAGCATTACTCGTACATATTGAGTTGTTCAGCACGTTGGCCCTGTCAACAGGTCTTGGCCGTTCTGGAAAAGATCACGTGTCCCCCGCCAGTTGAAAAGGTCCCTGATGAACCCACAGGGGATGCTGCTCAGAGCATCCCCAGTGCACAGGCTACAGCCCAAAACTCCAAGAAGCCCAAGGTGAAAAAGAAGAAGGCGAAAGGTTCCAATGCTGTTGAGACAAAGGACACACCTCCGTGCAGTCAGAAGGTTGCTCGTGTAGCTGCCTTGATTGGCAAGTCTTTGGCTCCCAAGGTTGTTGCCAAAGACTCTGAAGGGTCGCAAGATGCTTACAAGCCGGGTGAGTTCAATGAGATCTACCAGAAGTTTTTGAAGGACAAGAAAAACGAAGGCCACACCCACCATGAGGCCATGACTTTGTGGAAGTCATCCGTGATTCGAGAGCGTCTCCTTTTTGGAATGTCCGAGTCACAACGTAAGAAGAGACGTTTTGACTGAAATTCTTTAGAAGCTTTTGTGGGTCAGCTTTTGGCTGCGCATTGACCTGGGGTATGGGGAAAAAAGCGTTCAAAAAATACGGCAAGCATTCCAGTGAATGTGTTGTCTGAAAGGTTTGCCAATGATATGGCCTGCAGCCCTTTTGTGTAAGCTTTTGGGGTTCAAGGTGACACATAGCCTGTGTGGTTTGTGCTCAGCATGTCAATGCCATCTGTGGCAGCTATGCTTCGTTGGGGCCTGCCTCCATGCATGATCTACGCTGTGGTTCTTTTGAAGTTTAGTGGCACAGTGCCCACCAACCAGCCACTAGACTTTGCAGAATACTTCGCTGGATTTGGTGCGCTGTCACATGGACTTCGGGAAGCCACTGGCATGAAAACACCTTGTCAGTTTTTCCTTTTGCTGTGATGTTTGTCGTTTGACTTTTTTGGGGTGGGTAAGCAATCAACTTTGGAGATATGAGCCAAGGCTGGATATCGAGGAATCGCTTTGGCTATTGACTTTGATCCTCGCACGCAGGATCTGACAAGCAATGGAGGGTTCTGGCGTCTTGGCTGCATTTAGTAATCGTTTTCTGGTGTGAGGGTTCTTGAATAAATGTTGTTTTGGTGAGGGTTATATAAGCCAGTTAAACTTACATAATATGATGGATTTTATTCAATGGTGTATGTTTTCAGGTGTGCCATTTCGCAGCTATGCCGCGTACGAAATGGAGGTTTAGTGGTGGTGGCATTGTTGTGCAACTCTTTCTGCCGGATGCCTCTTGAATCAATTTTCTTTGATGATTTGAACCCATTTTTTCAGGCACTTCACTTTGAATTTTAACATGTACCATGTACCAATGTTTTCTTTTTGTTTTCCTAAGGAGCCGTGCTACTTCCCAGCGCAGCCCACTGTTTCCTATGGGATGTGAGGCTTACGACTTTGTTTCTTGTGGCAACTTGCTTTGTGCACGAAGTGTACTTCTGCTTTGGCTAGCGTGTGTCTGCCAGATCCGATGGTTGTTGGAACAACCTCATGGCAGTATCGTTGAATGCATGCCGAGGATGCAGGAGTTTCTCCATTGGTGCGATGTTGCCTGGCATTTTTTGAGTGACTTGTTTCGACTCCTTTCTTTTGCTATCGCAATTAACATTGCGACTCTTTCTGTTTTGAAGCAAGATAAGGTTTACCGTGGTGGATTTTGGATGATGAACTTTGGTGGTCCTACAGCAAAGAGGCACCTCATTTTTTGCAATGACAGCGTCATTGTGCAAACAATGCAGAGTCGGGGTGGCCATTTGTCCAAAGAAAAGCGGGAGGCGCAAACCGAACATTCCCTGGTTGTGAAAACTGTCGATCGAAACGGCATTCGCCGGCAGACTGGTGTGAAGAAGGTTTTGAAACAGAGCCAGTGTATCACTCTTGCTTAGAGTCATTGTTTTCCCTTTTTCTTTGGTTTGCTTTCATCCTAATATTTTCGTTTTTTCTGCCCGATACAAACCATTCAAAAGTATTGCGCGTGATGACCTACTGTAGGAACTATACCACCGAGTTTGGGCGACTCATGGCATCGTTGCTTACTGCTGTGACGGACAGAACCTTCTATCCAGAACCTCGGGATGAAGGACGGCCCATTGACTATACCCGCACCGACTGGGAGCTCTTCAGAAAGCATTGCCTAGATCAAGACTATAACCTGGTTGGAGACATGTGGGTGGATGCTGCTTGGCCTCCGTTATTTTTCTTATCACTTTGTGGCTTTCTTTTCCTGCCAGTAAAATTGTATGCTGTGCTTTGCAACGAAACTGAGGCAAAAATGGGCAATATTTTGGATTACTTGGTGTCTTCCACAAGGGTGATGTCGAATCTTCCCGGGCACTGGGCCAACTTGACCAGAGTCAAATATCCCAGCAACTTGTGAAAAAAAATTCGGTGTTTTTGGATTGTGCTGGAAATGTGTACCCCAAAAATAGAAATAATTTGAAATCATAATCATATTTTTAGTGGTCAGGTGCGTGGCGTGGGGTAAGGAAATCGACCACATGCTGTATTTGTATGCAGTGCCATTTGGATCAAACACCACGTCGCATTTTTTTGTATTTCATGATGGCGACTGGGCCAGTAAGCCCACACTGGGAGGAAAGCCTCAGGAGACTGAATGAGATGACTACTCTTAGAAAGGTAGAGATGCTCAAGGAGGCGTGTGAGATGCTCAGTGGCCATGCTCAGCAATTAGAAGAGATGGCCAGGATCCTCATTTAATTTTGAATAATTTTTCAGTTTTTGCCCATTCAAAACTTGGGGAATGGTACAACTATGGGAAATTGGGTGGCAATTTTCTTTTTGCTTGGATCTGGCATGCTGAGGAAACAACAAAGGAAACTTTCCCTGAATAACGACTTTTCAAATATTTTATTTTTGGAGGCGGTTTTCAAATGAATATGTTCGAGACCTCTGTGTTTTTTCTTCCCCTCTTTGCTGTTTCTAAGGTACATCGAGTGTTGCAGAAGCTTGTTGAGGCCATCGAGGATGACGCAGTTTCTTCGGAGTGGGCGCGGGATGGCGCAGATGATGACTCGCAAAACCAAGATGGAGATTTTCAACTGGAACTGGAGCCCAGTTGTGCCGTGGCCATTCGCCGCCCTTCTGAGCGTGAGGCCCCCAGAGAGGGGCCGGCATTGCCAGGCACGAAGAAAAGACCCCTGGCTTTGATCAACTGAGCTGGATTCCAACTCATGTTTGGACGCGAGAAAAAAAGGGATTGGGGGTGAAGGCCGGGGAGCCCCACAAAAGATAGTTTGGGATCACCACCAAATATCTATTTATGTGTATGTATACATATATAATTATATATATATATGTGTAAATATATATATATATATATATCTGTATAATTTAGTTTCTCCATATTTTCCTGGGTCAAACCGATGTATTTTAGATAGACAAGTTTGATGCTGCTTTTTGCCTTGCCACTCAGGTATGGCTACTCCTTCCGTTCCTGCAGAGAACTTGGAAATTGATTGGGAGGTTGCACTTGGTAGCTGAAGCTTGGTATATTTTGTATACTGTTTGTTTTGTTTGTTTTTTTGGGGAAGTGAAAAACTAAACATTCCATTTTGGCCACAAAAAAATGCTAAGGAGTGCAAAATGCACCTATGTCGCTTTCCGCAGCTGTGGACTTCAGCAGCTGCATTTTCAATATTTCGTCTGGTCTGGCCATGCTCCATATATGTGCCAGTCTATAATGTGGGGGCTCACAGTCCAACACGATCAAGTTGGCATTGGCGGGGAAAAAGGTGCGTGAGTTCAAAATTCCAGGCGTGGAAAAAAACACACGTGTGCCAAAAAAAATATTAGCGTAGAAAAACGGTATTTGTGCAACATTTTTACCCCATTTGTAAGGAATTTCGCCGTAGAAATCGTGGAAACTTGAAATTTCAAAAATTAAACTTTTCATTCAACTTTTCATTTTTTTTTTTGCAGGGTTTCAATTCAAGCTTGATCGTTATAGCTGCCATATGGCCATGGCGCTCGACACTGACACAATCATGTCAGAGCACGGCCTTACAAGAGAGGAGGCGACCGAAGTGATAAGGCAGCTCAAGGGAGGGTCATCTACCCCGGCCCCATGGTTTGGTCATAGTTTGTGCATTTTTTGCATTTTTTTTGGTGTGGCATTTTTTGAAATAGAGTTGGCTTGCATTTTTTAGCGTGGAAACAAATGCCTATCTCAGGCCACGCCACGACCAAAGGCCACTGCTGCAAAGGCAAGGGTCGTTGATTTTGTTTTGTGAAATTTTCCTCACGCAAAAATATCTCATACCTTGGCAGGATCCAAAAAAGGGAAAGGACATGAAGGATGCCGTGGAGACTTCTCCCAAAGAACCGCAGCCCAAAACCAAGAGCAAGTCTAAAAAGCCTGTCGTGGAGCCAGAGACCTCGCCTGACACCACCAAGAAGGCCAGAGCTTTGCAGGAAGAAGAGCCGAAAGCAAAGAGGGGAAAGACTACAAAGCCTGCAGAGGCAGAAGTGGCCCCAAAGAAAACTAAGGCGAAATGTTTCGACCCCAAGTACATCAAGAATACCGCAAAAGCAAAGGCGAAGGCATCACCCAAAGCGAAGTCAGTGGCATCACCCAAAGCTGTGAAGCCGACCATTGACAAGAAGCCAAAGAGAAAGGGAAAGTCCAAATCCTCCAAGAAGGCCAAGAAAGATTGGGAGACGGAAATGCTTGAGGAAGAGGTGGAGGAGGAAGCACAGCCTGCAGAAGACCTTGAAATTCAGGAGCGACCAGGGGTTGCAGTTTCAGATGAACCCGGGTCAGAGCACGATGGAGGTGATGATGAATGTGAAGCACCCGCCACTCCAGCTGTTGCTGAGACTCAGATGGAACCGGAAAGCCACAACGAGAATGTGGAAGTTAAGGAGGAGGAGAAGAAGAGCGATAGTGATTCCCAGCAGTCCCTTGCAACTTTGCTTCGGGGGAATGAACAGATGTTGGCCCAGTCCCTTTGCAGCATCTTGGAGTCGCAGGCCCAGTCTTCGAACTCACAGACGGAATCCCAGCTCTTTGCAGGGATGCTTGGTTCAGATTCATTTTTTGGCATTACCCTGAAACCGGTCAAGGGCTTGTAAATCATGACTTGTGAAAAATGCCTTTTGAAAATATAAATATATCTTTATATAATATATATATATCTTATGTACCTTGATATCGATCTGTATATATATATCTCTCTCTCTCTCTCTCTCTCCCCTGATATTATATACGTAAAAATATTTTTTTCGGGTGGTTTCAGCTTGTCATGCCACTGAGGCTTGGTGGCAGTGCGAGTGAAGTTTTTACTCAGAATATTGCGGCTGAGCTTGTCCGCTGTTTGCAGAGCCAGTTTGCAGCAGCTGAGCCGACGAAATCTTTGCCAGGTGCTAGTGGTGGACAGGCTTCAACCCCCAGCGCTTCAGAGGTGCCTGCTTCGACTGGGCCCTCAAGCTCTGTGGCGAAAAAGGCAGAGGATCACAAGGAGACCGAGGACAAGGCTGATGAATCAGAGAATGGCAATGCCAAGGCGCACAGTGCAAGTGGTGTGGTGGGGACTCCTGGTGTTCCTCGAGCCCCTCCTGATGAGGAAAATCAGGATGATGTTGCTACCGTTCCAGGAACACCACACCAGCTGACCAAGAAAGACATCAAAGACATGGATGAGGGTTGCTTGTTCATGTCATTAATATTTTTATGTTGCTTAGTCGCTTTTTTTGGCGTCAACCTGCTTTCTTTTTAAACGCTCATTGAGATCATATCATCCAAGATACGATCTTGCAGAAGTATGCAGACGGTGTGCTTCCGTTGGGATTGATTAACAGCAGCAACTGCCGGAAGCTCTATGGCCGCATGCAGCGCTACATGGAGAACCATGTCTCTGAAGCTTCCCATCCGAACATGTCATCTCTCTTCGAGGGAAACTTGGCTCAACGACGGCATTTGCTCCAGCAATGGCTATCTTCTGGAGAAGTTGCCGATGCAGCTGAAAGCAATCTTTCAGTTGCCAAGAGCAATGAGAGGGAGTTGAAAGGACAAGAGAAGCTTTTGACTGTAGAAGGCATGCGTCGACATGGTGTATCTGAGCACCTTTGGTTTGAAATTGGCCGTTCCATTTTTGAAGCTGTTTTCTCCACACGGGTTTGCTGCATGCTTTTGATACCATATCACTTGAGGAAGAAGATTGCTGCTGTCATCTCCACGCAGCAGCCAACTTTGGACCCTGACCATCCGGAGATTATGGAGGAAGCCCGCTACTGGGTCACCGTGGACACCGAGCGCACCACCAGGGAGAAGACCCGAGTGGAGCTGAACACCAATGTGAATGTGCAAACGGATGCATCCACCATAGCGGCCCTCACTTCGAATTTGTCAAGTCACTCCACCGTCGCCCGGTCAGCTACGGACATTGCTCAGCAGCTGAGGCAATTGAGCGAGACAGCCCCGGCACCCTCTGGTGCCATTACGATTTTCAATTTGTTTTTGATACTTTTTGTTTTGTTTTTGGGGTGGGTCATGTCAAATGGAACCCTTTAAAAAAGTTGGTTATGTTTTGCATTGCAGCTAGGTGCAGCCGAAGAAACGAGCTTGCAAAAGCAAAGCCAAGTCCAAGGCGAAGGCTTCTCCAGCACCAGTGGAGCCAAAGTCTTGGGAAGACATGGTGGCTGATGCCAGACTCTTTGACATAATCTTAGTTGTGTTTATTTTACTTTCTTTGTATGCTTGGGGAATTTGCCGCAGATCTTTTTTTTCACCAGCAGATGCCCAAGGTGTTGAGCTGAAGCGCGAGTATACGGCCAATGCTTGCACATTTGACCTGCCAAAAGGCTCTGAATCTCAAAAAAAACTCATAATGTTTTTGAAAAAACACCTGCAAATCCTTTGAAACAAAACTCCCCTGTCAGGCAATGAACTGCGCACGCAGCTGAACAAGCTCAAGGTGACCATCGGTTTGGAGATGGATGCTCTGAAGGAGATGGATTTGGAATCAACCTCGGAAGAGACCTTTGAGTCCAAGATGGGCCATGTCAAGACGTTAATCCAGGAGTCCAAGATGTTGCGTGCGCAGGCCAAGGCCGTCGTTCGAGAGTTGGATCCTTAAATTATAGAAGCAAATACATTTTTCTAGTTCATTTTCTACGGAGCAACTAGTACACGTGTAACATGTTTGTGATTACTGTTTTTTGGGGGGAATCATTTTTTGCCAATTGAGGCGAAGAAGTCTTGATTTTTCTACTCCAAAAAGGGGTATGCATGCAACCTCGCATGCGCAATCTATATATGTTGGGTATAACTCCGCCAGCCATCTCGGGGATGAGCCTCGTGGATGCATAGGAGTATGGACATGACCCGATGTTTGCGAAACAATGTGAAAAAAAAGGCTGCTGTGGGAGAAAAACAAGTGTAAAAAAAACAGTCAAACCTTCACCGTTTCCCTACGCAGGTGCTACTATGCAGCATCGGCTCGACCAAGAGCAGCTTGATTTCTTGGCGTTTGTGTTTTTAAGGCTTTTGTGCTGATATGCTTGGTATGATTTGTGGGGCAAAGATATTTGGCTTTTTGTTGCGTTCAATATCAATAAGGATGGCGCTGGCATTTGGACAAGGAGATGTTTCCCAAGCATTTGCAGAGAAGATGGGACGAATCTATGGATCTTCGACTTTTGGGAAATCATCTTCAAGGGCGCCTGAAGCTCGTGTACATCGTAGCGCCAAGCAACATGGCCTTGCTCTGAATTGTGATGTCACTTGGCTAGATGTGCCTACAAAGTCAGATGATGGCAGCCTTGAAATTTGCCCTTGGCCAATTTTGCTGCCGAAAGATTTGATGGTGGCATTGATTGAAGCTGGGCACTTGGAGATGCTCATGGGTACATTGCAAGAGCGACGGCGATATTGGGAGCAGGCCTTGGTGGATTTTAGTGGCCACGATGCTTTGGATGCAGACACAACAGCTCCCCTGAACCTCTATGGAGATGAGTCGACTGTTTTTCGAAGTTCCTGCATGTGTCTACATTGGGAACCTGTGCTGAACCACTTTCGTGGGGACAGCATGCTCTCAAGGTTCCTGATTGCAATCATTCCATCTGAGCGTTATTGGATTGCACCTTTGCATATATATCAATTTGATTCCCTTTGGCTGCATTGCTGCTTCTTTTGTTTATCTTGTTTTGGCAGCTGGGCTTCTGAGGTAAACCGTGTCAACCGAACGTTGCAGGCTGTGATCCAGTATGTGGTGGATTCTTTGAATGAAGTGGCGCGTGATGGACTGCAGGTTTCAAGCAGGCAGCAAGATGCAAATGCCAATTGTGCTGGTTTGAGCAATTTCTATTTTCTTTGGTGGGGGGCTACTTTTTGAATATCGCTATGTGTAATTTGTTTTTCTTGGGCCTACCCAGGGATGGATCGCAAGATTCTGTTGCATGTCCATCAAGGGAGATTGGAAATTTCTCAAGCAATCCTTCAATCTATCCAGAAGCAGGCGCTCACAGCAAGTTTGCTTCGCATGTTTGGCGGAAAAATCTGGAGAGATGAACATGACCAATTTATCGCCAGAGTCGCCTTGGCGAAGCACTATTTGGAATAGCCCTGTTCCTTGGACCTCACGTCCAGCTTTCTCGCATTTGGAGCTCTTTGACATCAGGAAGATCTCCTATGACATGCTGCACATCTGGCATTTAGGCATTGCCAGGGATTTGAATCCCGGCTGCAGTTATATAAAAATGCATTTTTTGGTGTGTTTTTTTCTTTGACTTGTTGCAATGTTAGGATTGGAGGTTGCATGCACAAGCTTGTTCGTGGTGGTTTTTTTGGCGGCGGTGGTGTGGATGTTCGGCTGCACCGAGCCACATTGAGACTTCGCAGATTCTGCAAAGCGTCTGGAAAGAAAACTGCTTTGAGAAAATTCTCCCAAGACAACCTGTGCTTGAAAAAAGGAGTTTTTCCTGAAGCTTAGTTGCATTGTTGTTTTTATTTGTTACCGGTATACTTTCTGTTTTGCTTGCATGTGTATGTGTATATTTTTCCGTGTTCTGGAATGCCAGGAGTTGAGAGCCAAAGGCTACGATGCATTTGCAATTCTTCGTTGGTTGCGGGAAGAACTTGCAGAAGTGACCGACCCACAGTATGACCACATTTCTGCAATGGTGTGGCTGGCCGACAGCTGGGTGACGATGCTGTGTGATGGAGAAGACTTCATTTCCGAAAATTGTGCAAAACAAATTCAAGTTTTGGGCGAAAGTTTTTTAAAGCTCTACTTGCAGGCTGCCCACTTGCAGCCCAAAGTTTGGAAAATTCGCCCAAAGTGGCACCTAGTCCATCATCTAATTTTGGATGCTGCAATGCGAAGATCCCATCGCAACTCGTCCAGGGATAGTACTTGGATGGATGAAGACTGGATGAAAAAAGTCACGCGTGTGATCCGAAGAACGCATCGCAAAACCTCTCCTTTGACGACTTTACAAAGATACCTGATGTTTTTGCAGCAAAAATTTAGACTGCACGCAGAGAAGCATAGCTAGGGGTGGCGAAAAAACAGGCGCGGCTGTGTGGCCCGGAGGGCTTGGGTAATCGCAGGGGTACCTGGAAGGTTTTAAGGGGTTGCAGTCTAGCCCGGAGGGCCATGACAAAGATTTCATAAACCCGGTGGGTAATAAAATAAACATATACCCGGAGGGTAAAAATATCATGTTGTGCCCGGAAGGTAATAAACATATTTACCCGAAGGGTAATATAATCTTCACGTTACAGGGTAGTAAACAAAATAACCCAGGAAAATCAAACTTTCATACGTAAAAGCCACCCCAAAAGAAAACAAAACATATATGTGAATTCCTATGGTTTCTGGTGCAAAAACCAACCTAATTCTGATAGTTCTGCATGCTAATTCCTATGGTTTCTGATGCAAAAACCAGCCTAATTCTGATGGTTCTGAAATATGTAGAACCGTGCTAATTCCTATGGTTTTTGATGCAGAAACAAGCCTAATTCTGATGGCTCATGGTATGCAGAACCATGCTAATTCCTATGGTTTCTGATTCAAAAACCAGCCTAATTCTGATGGTTGGCGCCATGCAAAACCATGCTAATTCCTATGGTTTCTGATACAGAAACCAGCCTAATTCTTGTCTGACCAAAGTATATGTGCATGATTTTTTTTATGTTGCACGTTTGGGCATATGTGTAACAAAATGTTACACGAACGAGCCTCTAGGAAGATGACGGTGATGATCGAGTACCAGCTGATGATGATGATGTTCCAGAAGATGATCAACCAGACAAAGACGAAATTGGTGTTGAACATGGACCACCTGAAGAAGAAGATGATGAGGATGATATCGATGTGGATGGTCCTGATGGAGGAGTACGATTGTCAAAGAGAGGTACCTTGAAACATGAAGCTCGTACTCTTGAACACTTGTTGACACATCGATACAAGAACCCATACTGCAACTCTTGCGTAAGGGCCAAGATGAAGCACCATAAGACCTATCGAGGTGCATTTCGTCGAAAGCTTACCAAGTTCGGCGACCTCATCACCTTTGACTTCATGGACACTCGCAAGACGACCAAGTTGGGCTACGACACGGTCAAGGAGATTCTTGTCATTCGAGACAGGTACACCGGCATCATTCAGAGCTACCCCTCTCCAACCAAGAACACCTAAGATGTTGTGAGAGCGGTGAAGTACTTCATGGGAAGAAGAATCATTAGGGAAGCGTACTCCGATAAAGCCAGACAGTTCGTCAAAGGCATGGAGGCACTCAAGATTCCCTTTGATCACGCTCTGCCGGGAAGACCTTCGACAAATTCTCTTGCAACAACCAGTTCGTCATCGCAACTACTACCACATGCCTACTCGAGGCTGGACTGCCAGCATGTTTCTGGAAGTTTGCCATACGATGTGTATGTCATCTACTCAATGTGGAACCTGGTGAAGACGATGTGAGTGCATGGTGTAAACTCCATGGCGCCGAATTCAAAGGCGACAAGATCCCTTTTGGCGCATTGGTTTACTTCAAGCCGAGTGGAGCCAGAGCCAACGAACAAGCTCACAAGTTCGATCCCAAGGGCATCCCTGGTGTCTTTGCGGGCTATGAAATTGCCCCAGGCGTCAACTGGCGAAGGCAATATATGGCATGGGCATTGTCTGACATGACCAAGCAGAACTACTCGTTCGATGCTAAGACAATCATCGACAAGCTACGCCATCCTCATCTCACTGAGAAGATCGAAGTGCATTTGCCGCTGACGTTCCCATGTAAAGACATCTATGAGAAGGTGAACACAACATTGGAAGGGTTGGCAGTGAAAGATCGTCTTGAAGGATCACCACATTTCCTTGAAGATCAACAAGATGACGATGATGATGACGGAGACGACGATGATGGAGACGATGGTGATGATAAACCCAAGAAAGGGAAGATCACCAATCGTGTTGAACACCAAGAAGAAGAATTCACTCGTATGATGGAGGAACTGGACATCAAACTCAACAAGGAGAAAGAAGATGAAGTTGAAGTTGTCGATGGACCTCCTCTACCTCCTCCTGACGGTGAACCTCCTTATGATGGGCCTGAACATCACTCTATGGGCAAACCTGGTGACGGCATCATCTACCTCAGCGACATTGGCGAGCATGTCAAGCTTGACAAACGTGGACGGCCTTATCGTGTTGGTCCAGATGGTCGCAAAGAAGTACGAGGGTCACCAAGGCCAAAGAGCAGCTACAGTCCTGAAGAATGGAGAGCACTGTCCGCCAAGGAGAGAGACGTCATCATTCGTCGTGGTAAACTTGAAGAAGAAGCTGAGAAGCTCAAGGAGATCAAGTTGAAGAAGGAGAAAGAAAAGAAGGCCAAGGCCGAGATCTCCGAGAAGAAGAAACATGATTCAAGTTCACCCAAAGATCCAGCCAAAGACGAAAGCCGAAAGAAGAAGAAAAAGGATAATAAGAGGTCAAAGGAGAGCTCAGGCAAAGATGGTGGCAAGGACGCTGCTGTCGGTGTGGGGACGCTCCGAGGAGAGTGGGAACGTATGCCTACGCCCCACAATCCAATGACGAGACTGAACCACAATCGAGATCGCAACCCATGGGAACGTTCGTCGACGCCCCATGGAGCGAGTGGTCTCATCGACATCAAGAAGCTCAATACCACCTCTCCTGCGACTCCCAGTGAAACGAGCACCAACATCCCAAGTGACGATGACGGTCAAGAGTTCTTGAATGAATGGGATGACTGGTCTGAACACGAAGTTGGAAAAGGACCAAAAGCTCACTGGGAAGATGTTCACTATGATTTCAACACTGGGAAAGTCACGACACCTGCTAAGGCTGCACCAACGGCTCCTACCTCAAAAGACTCCGACGGTAAGTCCAAGGTCAACCACTTCGTGAGTTCGATTCCTTGTATGCCTTGTGTTCATCAAGACCTTGAGCATCGTGAAAAGTTCGGTCAAACTGATGTGAGGTTTGGGAAGTTGTTCAATGCGATGGTCTCACGGCCAGTTGGTCGTAAAGAGATGATGGAAGACCCGGACGCCAAGGCTTCTATGAGGAATGAGTGGTTGGGACAGCATAAGCAGGGAGTCTATGATTTCTCCATCGTTCGTGAATACGATGATGTTGTGGCAGAAGCAAAACGAGAAGGAAAAGAAGTCCACATGGCACGAGTTCACGGCATTTGTGTCGAGAAGAACTATCAGCTACCAAAGGCGAGCCCTGGACGTAAGTTCAAAGGAAGAGACGTTCTACTTGGAAATCAAGTGAAGAATCAGCACTGGGAAGCCGCGTTCTTTCAGGACCTCGGCAATTCTCCAGCGACGTTTGAAGCCTCCCGATGGGCAGATTTCTATGGTTGTATCCCCGGTCACAATGTGAAGTTGGCAGATGCTATCCAGGCATATATTCAAGCGAGGCTTACAGGACCTCCTTGTTGGGTCGAACTCCCTGAAGATGCATGGCCGGACGACGTTGACATCCGGAAGTTCAGAAGGCCGGTAGTGCGACTTGTCAAGGCACTTTATGGTCATCCTGATGCGGGCACGATGTGGGAACAACATTGTGACAAACATGTCCTTGAAGTTGGGTTTATGCCAGTAGGGGAGGAATGGCCATCAATGTATTTCCATAAGGAACTCAAGCTTTTGTTAGTCATCTATGTTGATGATCTGAAGTTAGCTGGGCCAGCACAGAACCTCACCAAAGGATGGGAGATGTTAAGGTCTAAGCTACGAATTGAACCAGAGACTGATTTAGGTCTCTATCTTGGTTGTTTGCTAAGCAAAGGAACCAATCGCCTGCATGACGGCACAGAGGTCACAACCATGACCTACAATATGGAGGGTCTTTTAAAGCTCTCTGTTGAAAAGTATCTTGAACTTGTTGAGAAAGATACGAAATTAAAACAAGTCTCAACACCTAGTCCCCCCGAAGAGACCAAACAACATAAGTCTCGAGCACCAGCACCTGGGGATCCCAAGCATGCAGTTCAATGTCCCTGGTGTTCTACAAAGTTCGATCCTGGATCGTCGGTTGCCTTACAGCCCGATGCCTCCGATTCTCGGCCGGAATCTGTTGAAGTCCAACGAGGTGCACTTGCTCCTCATGCTGCTAGCATCTTGATGAAGCTTCTATATGCAGCAAGGATCGCCCGATTTGATTTGTTGAGATCAATCAATACATTAGCACGCAATGTGACGAAATGGTCCATTCAAGATGATGCAAAACTATACCATCTGATGTGCTATGTCAGCTCTACCTTAGGGAAGAGAATGATTGGATGGGTCGGGAATGACATGAAAGATCTATCCATTGCATTATATGCAGTTGCTGACTTTGCGGGATGTGCACAATCATTGAGGTCCACATCAGGTTCTCATATGCATATTCAGGGGAAACGTACTCGGTTTCCGTTAGCTGGTGGAAGCAAACGCCAGGGGTGTGTGAGCCATTCTACACCTGAAGCTGAGATCGTAGCCGCTGATGTAACCCTTCGAACAATGGGTCTTCCTGCACTCAGTATTTGGGAAACGCTTACAGAATCATCTCCAAAGCTGTTGTTTCACGATGACAATCAAGGGATGATTGGTGTGGTTCGTTCTGGAAGGAATCCAACAATGCGGCATTTGGAAAGGACTCATGGAATTTCTATTACGTCATTACATGAGCATTTCAGCAAAGATCACTTTGTTCTCATGTACGAGATCACAGCGAAGATGGCCGCGGACATCCACACAAAAGGTTTTACAAACCCACTTGCCTGGAAGAAGGCATGCATGTTAATCAATCTTTTGGAACCCGAAGACCTTGGTTCGAAGCAATTGGCAGACCTAGTGCAGCCCACTACGGATGTTGACACTACAGTTCGTCAAGTTTTTCAGTCAAGGACAGATGAGGTTCCCAATTTTCCATATACTGAAACACCCATACTGCCACCTGAGGTGTATCGTAAGGGTCTTTCAAGTCGCGAAAAGCTTCAAAAGCTACCTGGTATGGATCCTATCTTTGTGGTCAAAACCCCTACACTGTTCAGAACAAGACCAGCTGGTGTCAAGCTTCCTGCAGATTGCCTTCGGAGCACCTGGATCTTAGTCCACGGGAAGTGGGAACAAGTTGAGGATCGTGTTCCACCTTTGTTACAACAATCACGTTTTGACAAATGGATAGAAAGGGCATGTTTTCAATATCATCACCCCACTTCCGCTCCGATTGTCTCACTGCCCGCATGTGCGTCGACGGCGGCCAGATATCAGTTCTTACGTGCGTCGACGTTGGAACTGGACAATCATCCGAGCCTCACATTCAGTACTGAAATACTCTTTGAACAAGCTCAACGTCCTCAAAAGATTCCGTTTTCGTTACATGAAGGGAATCCTATGACTATAAGGGTGATCAATGCCCTGGTACGCCTTGTTCATGGGGGGAGAGGCATGGAGGATTCAAAGTCGTCAAATTTCAACACCAAGAGTTCAAAGTTAACACAATCGCCAATGCGGAGAAGAAACATCAAGAAAATAGCATCAGCAACTGAATGTGGTCATGATGAAGTTCCTGTTCGTGATGAATGGAGATGGATAGGTGACCATGTTTTGGAAAGGATCCACAACATACCGAGAAGAGAAATGTTCGTTCCAAGTGATTGTGATGATTGTCCCTTTGATCATCGTTTGATTCAAGATTGGAGAGAAACCCAATTGAAGTTCCAGTCGAATGTGAGGGTGGACAAGAGTAATTGGCGTCTCCCAGGTGATAATGGAGAAAGGTCAAACAATCGAAATGAATTTTGGACTGGAAAGTCTATCTTTCGTGTTTTGAGACATCAGGAGGTTCTTCCGGTTGCGAGTTGCATTATGGATGATAATCTGATGGCTTGCGTCAACACCATGGGTCTGAACATCATTTCTCCAAACAAGATATTTATCCCTCATACATATCGAATGGTGATCGAAGAGAACAAGAATGAGAACGAGTTGAACATATTTGCGGACAGTCTGATCAACTTATTACTGGTACGTGACAATGGGCAATGCATGAAGTATACGTTCGTCAGGTCTATTCCCGACCTAGAAGACACGAAGTATTTGGGGAAGAATGTCACTATTACAATGCAAGAGTTGCCCGAAAGGACACCCACTATGATATTGATGTGTGCAGAACCTTCAAGTTTGATGACAAAGAGATATAGTACAATTATGGACACTTCGATTCATCTGGAATTGATCACAGAGGATGATGACCTTCTCTCCAGATACGGGAATGCAAAGTGGAGGAGATGCCTCCGCAGTAACAAGGACTGCGTCTTCTTCGCTGGACCGTGCACGGGCGGATCACCGTGGAACAGGCTGAACAAAAGGGTTAGTTCTGTTACTGCTCACATGATCAATGCCAAGGCTCGGTTGTACTGGAGGTTATGGGAAGAGTTTTCAAACTGTCTTCTGAAAGTGATCAAGTTAGATGCTATGGCACTACTGGAATTGCCGAGAGGCTGTGACTATTGGCGTGATGATCGAATGAAGTGCATGATTGAAGGAACAGACTCACACATTCATGACTTCGATGGATGTATGTACGGTCTTGAAACACAGTTTGATGGTCGTCATATCCCAATCAAGAAGCCATGGAGGATTGTATCGTGGGGGGTCAAGTTCGATTTGCACAAGAAATGTGACCGTAGACATGATCATGGAAAATGTGAAGGTCGTGAAACGAGGATCACTCAGACCTACACCAAACAGATCGTCGACATCATCTTGAAGACTATATGTCGATGTGTGTCTATTCGGTTCAAGAAGTCGTTGTCAAGTGAGGATGACATATGCAGCAGTTGCATGCATGACAGACGTTCAATCAAGAAGACAGCGGTTTCAGTTGTATATGACAACAATGAAGTTGCAGCAGACCTCGTGTGGTTGATGATATTCAGTAAGGAGAGATGTCTGATCAATGTAGACCCTGGTATCTCAGGATTTCGATCTACGAGAAGTCAGTGTGTCACGACTTTTACGACTTCATACTCGTCGTGCACCGCCGAACGGGTGATTGGAAACCTGAACGGACGTCGCCGCCCGGGAGTACGTGACCCCGAGGTGATCGGAAAGCCGGAGGTCAGTCGGCCACGGCGAGTACGTGATCCTCTAGGCGCGGTTGCCATGTCGAACTACTCGCCGATCATTGGTTCGGCGTCGAATGATCTCAATGACATCAACTCCGTCCTCATCACGTTGCGGGACAACGGGAAACATGGAGCGATTCCTGCCATGTACAAGGAGTACGACCCGACCTACAGCAGTCAGCCGGACGTCACGGTCGACAGGTGGCATGCGATCGGAATTAGTCCAATCGCTGCAGCATCAGCTTGCTTCTTAGGCAAGGTTCCATCGAACCGGTCCGAGGTGGATGCTATCTCACTGTATCTTCAGGTCTTAGAGCTGATCAAGAATCAGGAGGAGCTGAACTCCGGGGCCAAAAGGTTCTTGGACAAATGCACCACCTACATGAAGACCTTCGTTCAGCTGGCATCTCGAAACCCTCATAAGGTTCTTGGATTTTGCACGTCTGAATGTGTCAACGGATTGGGAAATATGTGGGAGTGCATCAAGAGCTTCCATGTGCCTCATCCAATTCGAACTGATGGAGCGTTCACGGTTTCAATGCTACCTGATCACCTTCGAGAGTTCAAGCTTCGACCTTATAGAGGTGACCTACGAGGTGTGAACCAATCCGTCCCGGCAGAGAACACGTGGTTGAATGCAACGAGGAAGAAGGACGGGGTCCTTAATCCGTCCGATCCTGATGCGCCCATCACCATCTCCTTCAGGGCGATTCATCGAGAGCTCCACTACTTCGACATGACCACGACGTGGCAAACGAAGTCGACCCAAGACATGTTCAATGCAATGCTCGATGAATGGCAACGTCAAGTCGTTCATCTGGGACATGCATGGAGGTGTTACAACCAAAAGGTGGATGATGAGGGAGACTACAAGGATCCAATGACCTTAGAGACGACGATCAACGACCTCACCGAGCAGAACACCAAGCTGGGTCGTGAAAGGGCCGCTGCAGTGAATCATTTCACCTGCATCTTGGCGCTTGCCCCCGCAATCTTCAGATGGAAGGCGAAGTTGGGGAGATTTTGGCAGTTCTCCGAATTGGCAAGGACCAACACGAAGAAGATCAACGACTACGTTACGAGGGTTCAACAATCCTTGTTGCTCACGTCAGAGATCCTCGAGAACCATGGATACAACGTCATCAACGTTGAGGAGGGCAACCACGGAGAGATCAAGAAACGAAACAAATGCTTTTCTGCCTTGAGGGAGTTTTCGACTACCATGTCGGAGACCCAAGCTGGTGGAGGACAGACTGGACTGCAGGTTGCAGCATCTGGGTGGAAGAAAGTTCTGAGGTTTGGCGACGGAGTTTGGCCACCAGAGCCCCCCAGGGCGCAGATCCCGGAGTGGGTTACAATCCCAGACCCAACCGTGCCTGCACCGAGGGTCAACAGATTTGGGCCACGGCCGCCTCCAGGACCACCGCCTGGATTCAAGGCACCGCCACAACCTTATCCATCGGCACAACCACCACCGCCGAAGGCAAGACCGACATCACCATCGGCACCATCAAGACCGAGTGCATCGGGATCACAGTCATCGGGTTCAGCTGGGCCACCACCGCCACCGCCACAGGCGGCACCCAAACCAGCGGCAAAGCCCATGCCAAGGCGTGAGACATCAGATGCAGAATCCGTCACGCCGCAGCCACCATCGAATGTGATCACATATTGCAGGGTGTTGACAGACTACACGGGCACTCAGGTGAGATCGATCCTGAACGTCCACGTGAACACCGCTGACACTGAGTTTGCTATGTCGCACGTCCACGGACCAATGGCAAACAAGGCGCAGTCAACGTGGCGTCAGTACCTCAGGAGGGTTGCCACATACACCTGCCTATGCTTTGGACTCGCCAATGCCAGGGAGATCGGTGATGCATCCTACGCCTACAGCGACATGGAGTGGCTGAGAATCTACAACGCCGCAACCAAGCGTGGGGGGATGGTTCATCAGAATTACTATCTCTCAGTTGGGTCCATGACGGTCATGGTGGAGAAGAACGATGATGGACAGGCCACTGATCGCACCTACGACAAGTGGAGGCGAGGCCTGAAGTCGGGCATCGGTGGAACTATTGTGGACAAGCCACTGGTGAGGAAAGAGAAAGATGAATTGGCAGGGAAGTTCAGGTTCGGCAAGACCATTTTGATCACAGACCTCAACTACAAGTGTCAATCGAACTCAAGGGGAACAACAAACATCCAGTACGGGCTTGATGAACTGGGATATGTTGTCACTGTCATTGACATCAACAGCTTTAAAAGCGTGACCAGGGCCCAGAAGTTCATTGACGCGGTTGAGCACCTGATCAAGACCGTGATGCCAGACATCGCAACCGAGGAGAATGTGACCATTCACTTTTGGGTATCGTTCGCATTCCTCATCACGGACACCCATCATTATCATGTGTGGGTTGAAGGGCAGTTTGCAGAGAGGTTCGCTGAGGCAATCCGAAGTGTCGACAAGCTGGCGACAAGACCTATCTTTGTGTCGCTCTGCAAGGACCCCAGATTTCATGGTATCCGATCAGGCATTCAGGACGTTGCCATGGACGCAGCGGACGCCCTGAGGAGCTTCGGTATCATGGTCACAACCGATGATGGGATGTGGCGATTGATGTATGGTCATGCCGGAAACCACTACGTGAACAACCACAACCGGCCAGACCGTTTGGGAGTTTTCGCCACCATGGAGAAGTCCTTGTTTCGACAGAGGGTACTATTATTGATGTGTTCCCTGAATGTTGAAGCTGCGGAAGGATTGAATGACATGGTGAAGGAATCATCCCTGAAGGTCGGCATCAACCTGGAGCTGATGGAAGATGTGCTTAAAGAACCTCTTACAATCCAAATAGGAACAGGAGGTGGAGTACCAGACACCGCGAGCACTGGACCCAACGGCCCAGGAACTGTTGGTGGCGGTAGAAGATCGCATGTTGAGTATGAAAAAGCGCCATGGATCGAAGCCACAGTCAGGTCAGCTTTGCCTGAACCATCAGCCAACATGTACGACATGTGGTTCTATGTCAACCATGGGCGAGATGAGATGATCCTATGTCACGGGCACTTCAACACTGATGGCGATGAAACCACGCCAGTTGATCAAATGAACTACGACTTTGAGTGTGGAAAAGAATGCATCGCTTGCCGAGCAAGCGAAACAATGAGGGACTATCAACTTTGGCCGCCAGAGTACCAGAGAAAGAAGATTGTGAAAACAGCGGCACGGTCCCGTGCATTCTTCAACTTCATGTCGCAATCAAACAACGCCATCATGGATCCTCAACAAGACTTCGTGCAGTTCCTCAAGGACATCACCAAAGCGATGGTGGGCAACAAGGGGTGCGAGCACGGTGAGATCCTCATGAAGGCCTTATCGCACTTCGGGATGGTCAGAGTTCCCAGAGATCGCGTCAAACAGATCTTCACTGGGAAGCGTGGAAGACAGTATGGCGTCATCCGAGAAGAATTTACTTTGGATGATGGCGTCCAACCCCATGATCGCTTTGCGTATCGGGTCACAAAAGACTATGGGAATGTCTTCTACAAGGACTATCTCAAGATGGTGCTCGGAGATGATTTTACGGAGGTCATGGGCTATGCTGATGCAACGGCCGAGAAATGCGGTGACGTGGTCGAAATGTGGCTTGGAATGTTGGATTTGGCCAACATGACGAAGTCCCAGATCACGTTCATGGAGACAAAGGGCGATCCAGGTGAACTTCTTGCAGGCCTGGAAGCATCAATTAACATCTTCCATGGAACGACAAGATCTACCACGACTCCAAACACGAAGAGAGGTGGATCCAGGGTCACCGAGCCCACGAATTACGAGGAGGCTATGGTGAATGATATCCTCCGTGAAATCCCGATGTACCATGGCTTGCAATTCGCATGTTTGATTGGGGACGAGGAGATCAGCGTCATCAATGAGAACTACAAGATGTCCAAGGCCGAAGACATCAACGATGATGACATGGAACCCGAAGGTCAAGGGACCGGGGAGGGTACGTCGACCACCCCGGGACCGACGACCGGAGGCGCGGGAGCAGGTGCCGAAGGAGCAGGTTCGTCGACCACTCCTGACATGCACGATGCGACCAAGTCTCCATCGAATCCTGAGGAGGAGTTCCAGATATCTCAGGACAAGGGTGCCATTGTAGAGGCCATTGACGCGCTCTTTGCCCTGGCGGACGACATCAACGTCTGCCGTCTGCCTGAAATGTGGAGGAAGTGGTCATCCCAATTATGAATGTCCTGATCGAGGTAGTGATCCGGTGAAGGCTGCATTAATCAACTTGAGGAAGAAGTTGCAGGGCGATGACGTCGAAGAGAAGGATGCTCCCAAAAGAGATGAAGAAGAGGAGCAACGTTTCCGCCAAGAAAACTACAAGGCAACCAGGGCAGGAGAATACATGTATCTCCAAGCAATCCCAATGTCAGTGATTGGAGATCGAGCTCATGGAGAGAAAAGCATCAACGGAGTCAGAGCTGATGAAAAGGGACCCATGACAAAGAGCGAGCTGAACAACATCGTTGACACAGCGAGCCAAAAGGGCATCACCTTGACATGCAGGGAGATGAGATCGGCTATGGCATACTCCGACAACAAGATGTACAAGAAGCTCGCCATCGGCACCAACATTGGGAAGCTCAAGATCCTCCCGGTCAACGGCGGCAAATTCTACTCGAGCTGCTATGCTGGATCTGGAGTGGAATATCCCCTGCCGACCGAGACCAACAGTCACCAAGTCTACTTGGAAGGTTGGGAGAAGACCTACAGCTACTACTTCACCAAGGCCTGAGGCACCACATTGGACGAAAGGAAGTGTGGGAGAAAGCCGCAGCCGGCGGAAGGAGAACGACATGTCAAGGCCTTGCATGTGACGAGGCCGGATGGGTGGACATCATGGACTTTCTACACCACCCATGGATCTTTGATTTTGAGAACGTCCGCACCGAGGACGATGGACTGATTGACGTTGACTTCAGAGCAGAACGCGTCAACACCATGATCAAAACTGTTTGGTCAGAATTTCAGGAGAAGAACAAAGTCTGCATCCAATTCCTGTGCATCGTTCTTGATTCCACCTTCGACAAGCCCGATGAATACCTCAAGAAAGTCATGAGGGCCGGCGATGACATTCATGATCTCATCGCAAAGCGTGGGGAAGTCTTCCTTGCACCTATTGCCGTGCGCTCACCTGGAGGATTCTCAGCTCACGGAACCGACTTTCACCTTGACTACAGCAAGATTTGCCACCCAATCACCACCAAGATCGCAGACGACATATGGTTCGCTATCATGTGACTGAGTTCAAGAATGTGATCGGCATCATCAAGGAAGGTCTACGACCTGGAGGTCACAGAGGAGGACGAACGCACGTGTTCCTCAATCCATTTGTACCTTGGGACCGGCGATACAAGGACATCCTAGGAGGACTATTGACACACCTAGGACAACCACGCATGGTCCTGGCATTCAGCGTACATCGACTCATGAGCCTTGGGGTCATGATCAATACGTCTGGACAAATGGTGGTCAATGCGAACATTCCTTTCTCTGAGGTGACCGCAGCTTGGTACCGGAACAACGACTACAACTGGGAACGACTTTTAGTTGATTCCGGAAAGTTCCAATTGGTGAGATCATGCCAAGAGCCGAAGGAGATTTAACGGCGAACACGGTGTTACGTGTATCCAAGGCCCTGCTGAATGACATCAGCAGCGAGGACAACATTCCGTTCTACGACAAGTTCGTCGAGGATGTTGCAAAACTCGAGTCGACCAATGGAGTCCTCAGCCCTAGTAGCGAGCTGAGAAACGACATCGTGACGTTCATCTCTGAGAACTACACTCCGAGAGAGGCTGGGCATATGATATGTCCGGCATGCCTCACTGAGACTCCAAACATCCTGTCCATCTGCATCCGATGCCATGGGACGTTGGTTAGCTGGGGGGAGAAAGAAGCAGACTAAGATGAGAGCACTGCCCCAGGAATGCCAGAAAGAGAACGTCGCGAAAGTGAAGATGGTCAAGATGGTGAAGACGAAGACGTCGAGATGGAGAATGAGGACCAAGCGGAGATTGATCGGCTGGTCAGAGAGTCGAAGAAGAATACCGAAGAGACTCCAGATGACGACGTCGACATGACTGATGCCAAACCAAGTCGCGAACAGACCAGATCCGAAGGCGAACGGCAACGTCAAGCTCCTGATCAAAAGGTTGTCTTTGGCAACAACACTAACGAGCAGCAGGAGGAAGAGGATGAGAGATACGCTCAAGAGCAAGAACAAGACGAAGAACGTCGCGAGGCGAGGGTTCAGCTACCTTTGTGGACGGCAAGAACAATCCAAGCTTCGATCATTCAGTGCATCGACATTGCTCAAAACGAAGATGCCATTGACAGCACGGCACGAGCAATCGACAACATGATCTTGACGTACCTCAAAGACCGCTACAGGCTCTACCATCTTTGGACTTCAACGGCACCAGCTCAGCAATACTACGACCATGTGAAGAGAGTTAAACTTCTACCAGAATATGATGGATATATTCCATACGTGGGAGAGACTGCAGAGGGTGAGTTGAAGGAGCCCACAGAGGAGGAGTTGATCGCATCGTTCAACGCCAACGCTAAAAGTGGGAAACTTGGTGGACGAGACCTGGAAGTCTACTTGAAGGGAGTGAACGGGATTCGCGTACTGTGCAAAATCATGAAGTACCTTGTCCAGATTGGCATCACCCCACAACTCGTCTTCTCTAAAACTGCCGACGTCACGGACGAGGATGAGGAAAGGCAACTGGAAGTACGACGTGAGGCATCTGACTTCGTGAGGAAGATCATTTCCGGTGCCTTCGCTGTGCGTTCCTATGATTATTTCCGAGTCACACCACCTCAACGCGATGATCATATTCACATCGATCCTGTGGAGTTGGTATGTGCGGTAACAGAGAGATCCAGAACATTTACCGTCCTTGTAACGCTCAACAAGATCGGCCTGGGACTACCTCAACAACTCCAACGAGTTTGGCAAGGTAAGCTCAAAGCAGTACAACAGAGCCCCGCGCAAATGACGACATGTCTGAGATCGCTCGATCCATCCGAACGTGAAATTGCCAAAGAATAAGTTCGAGCCATTGGAGACGCACCACCCACAGAAGAACGGGCTTCAGCGAGCACCAAGGAGTCCGACGCTACCAAGAAGCGGCGCAAGAAGTGAATTCCTCTTGGTCTACATCCTTGAAGAGATCTTATTTATGAGAGGATTCTGAGTGCCGGGCTAATTCATATGAATCCCATGCGTTCAGGATACGAAGCTGTCCTGATGCAAGGGAACAAGTTTAAAGGGCGTATGAACCTAGGATCTAATTCGAAGGGTGCACGGAAACCGGTGTCAGTTTGCAACGGTTTGCAAGGTTTCACTAGGACAATACGTCCGATACCCCTTTTGGCCCAAAACCGGGCACAGGGCCCTTGAGTCTTAGCGCGCAGCGCCGAAAAGCCGCACTACGGTGCACAACCAACACTGGTAGCGGAGCGGTGCAAGACGGGACCTACGGGTTGCCGCATCCGCCCTACCTCGGGCATAGCCCGGAGGTTCCTCTGAGGTCCTTGGCCTCAGGAGGCCCTCGGTTCCTCTGAGGTCACCCGGCCTCAGGAGGTCCAAGGTTCCTTCGAGGTCACCTGGCCTCAGGAGGTCCAACATGCCGGACAAACGGTCCTGGCACTCTGGCCACGGTCATGGGTCGCGACGGCCCGACCGACGAGAGGACCATGGTGGAGACAGCGAGTACACCTACGAGTACCTCGAAGATGAAGAGTCCGAACAAGAGGACGAGCCGAGGCAGGTGCGACCAGCACCTCCGGCAGCTTCCGCCGCGCCGGAACGGAAGCAGCGTACGGATGGGTCACACCGGCCCCCTACGCCTCCGCGGGAGGCGCGTGCGGCGGAGGTTCCACGCACGGGGCCGCGGGAGCCGCCTCCTCCCCCACCAAAGGAGAGGAAGGAAAAGAAGGAGAAAAAGAAGAAGGCGGACCCCAAGAAGGAGCACAAGTCCGAGAAGGACAAAAAGAGCCGTCGCGGTGACCCCCACGACAGGCGTAGCAGGTCAACAGGCCGCCGCCCTGCTGAGGAGCGGTCCACAAGGCGTAGCCGGTCCCCGGTAGAACTGCGACGGGCGCCGGGACACAATCCTTACCCGGAAGACATGCCGTCAATGAACACCGGTTCCTCGGGAAGTGGCAATGCTGGTGCGTCTGGTGCACTGCCAACACCAGTAAGCCCAACCCATGGTCCGCCCGACCTGGGGTCAGCTCTTGGCCCGGGTGACTGGGTGTGGGTGTCATCCCCTGGGTACTGGGTGTTCGTGCCCCACGAGGTGCCCCACCAGAAGGGTCACCACCAGTCCCCTGGATGGGAAAGCGAAAAAGGGCGCCACAAAGGGAAGCGGCCCGAGTCCCCGAAGGGTTCGCCGAAAGGCCCTCCAAAAGGCCCGCCTAAAGGAAAAGGCAAAAATCCCCCCAAAGGAAAAGAATCCAAAGGGAAGGGGAAGAAGGGCAAAGGCAAGGGTCACAAGAGGCGCAAAAA